TGCTGCAGGAGCTCAGCCACCACCTGATCACCTCCTCTGGCACGAAGYCCCCAAATTTCTCTGCCCACAAAGCTGGGTGGAGGATAGAGTATCCTCCCCTTCCCTTGGGCCCGGCTCAGCAGCAGGTGCACATGACCAACAGATTTAAATATCACTGTATTATGGATTTTAATTAGCCCTGGCCACCCTGAGCTCTCATCCCACTGCATCTCAGCATTTTGTGCCAGGGAAGGGGAATTTTGCACCACACAGAGCCTCAGGGCTGCCAGAGCCATCCCAGCTCCCTCCACAGCCTCATGTCCAAGGTCCATCTTCCTCCTGGCACAAARATGTGAGACTGTGCTTTTCCAAGCGTATGGAAAGATCCACAGGATCCTATTAATTAATCCTATAAATCCATAGAATTAAGGGGTTGGAATGGTCCTTAAAGGAATGGTCCTTAAAGACCGTCTAGACCGAAAGAAAAAGGGGAACTSAAAAGAAAAACTTGAAAAACTTCTGAAAAGATCCTGTCGTGTTTCGGTAAGCACCAACCACCTGCACTGGGATCAGGCAGCCCCGTGGGGTGAGGCAGGAAGGTTTTGGGGACCCCTGAGCTGGCTGGATTTCACCCAGGATGAAGATTTCCCTCCTCCGGGCCGGGGTCTGAGGCTGCCCGGTAGCACGGCAGGAATGCTCGGTAAACAAGCAGTAAATATCCATTGCCCCGGTGACAGACGCCTCGAAGGGATTGCGAGAGGAAGCTGAACTCAGCGCTGCAGAGAGCAGGGAGGAAATCAAGATTGTGCATTTGACAATCCCAGTCCGGGCAGCGGGGACAGGGAGGTGGAGGAACTCGCAGCGGGGTCTGGCTGGGGAGCCCCAGATGGCCACTGGTTGTCAAAGCAAAGGGATCAGCCGGACAAACTGCTCCTTCTCCCCTCTGCCCCAGCCCGGAGGGACAGCCCAGCYCGGGGGCTGCAGGAAGGCGCTGTCGCTGCAAAAATGGGTATTTATTGCTCTCTGGTGGCGAGATGGGCTGAGCAGCAGAGCTGCKCCTTCCCKCTGTGCGCCCGGGAGAAGCTCCTCGAGCCTCCCAAGAACTCAGGCTGGAAAATCCCCCCAAAAYCATCGAGCCCGACCATTSYCCCACCACTGAACYGCGTCCYCAAGTGCCACATCTGYMTTTGAACASCTCCAGGGACGGGGACTCCAGCACTTCCCTGTTCCAGTGCTGTTCTCCTGTACAACCCTGAGGTTATAGGGCAGAGCTGGGGTGAGGGGGGCTCTGCCTCCCCCCTGAGCAGTTTTTGCCCCCACATGGGGCTGGACCAGCCCCTCTTATTGCTCCTCCCATCCCTAATTCTCTCTCACAGCCAAAAGCTTTGGTGGTGCTGTTTGCAGGAGAGGGACTTGGCAGAAGTGTCATCACAAACCTCGTGGAGCAGACGAGGATAAAAACCAGGAATAAATAAATAAAGGAGCTGCTGTTTCAAACACCCTTGGGCCGGCTGAGCTGCTCCAAGGTGTGGGGCAGCTGTGGGGCCGGGCAGGCACACGGCAGCAGTGCCCTGTYCCCATCCTGGGCACTTCTGAGCCCCACAGGAGCTCAGCCCTGCTGCACCAGCATCTCCAGCACCGTGGAGCTCCTCACCTCATCCTGCGTCAGATGTGCCAGCCCTGCTGTGGCTCCTGAAAAACACGGGCAGGGTCCCAAACRCTTGGGACAAGGAGCCCAAACCCTTCCAGCTCCTCAGGACGTGGTGCTGGACCTCTCCCGAGAGCACACGGACCCWGCACGGCGCTGTCCCACGGTGGCARAYRGGTCACACCACACGGCCACCTTCGCTCAGCCAGCGGGGCCGGCCCGTGGCACAGCCTGGCGTGCCCTCGGGTCCCCCTGGGGCTCTGGGGATGGTGCCCAGCTTGGCACGGAGCATGGTTTGCAGCTCCTGGTCTCCCAGCTCGGTGGCTGCAGCGAGGGCCAGCAGGAAGTAGGAGGCTGCGTCCTGTTCGTCCTGAGCAGAAAGCACAGGGCAGGAGTTAGGAAGGGGCTGAACAGGAGGGCTCAGGGCTGGAGCGGAGCCTGGGCATTCCAGACACTCCTGATTTCCTTGGAATGGGCTCTACAGTCACAGCAAAGAGCCAGCAACTCCTTTCCCCTTCAAAAGCAGAAGGTGTGATCTCCACCCTCAGCTCTCCACCCAACTCACAGCACCATGAAAAACCTCCTTTCTTACCTTGAGCTTGTGCAGAGCCAGGTTGCCCAGGTGCCAGTAGATCTTGCAGTAGTACAGAGCCTCTCCYGAGCTCTGCAGCACGGGGGGACGCATGGCCAGCGTCTTCAGGTAGCAATCCTCGGCCATCTCGTACATGTGCAGCAGCTCGTAGGCTGTGGCCAGGCGGTGGAATGCCACCAGCTCCTGCAGCTGGTCCCCTGGAAAAGAGGTGGAATAAAACCAGCTCCTGCCATGGATCTCTCAGAAAAGAGGGAGAATGCAATCAGCTCCTGAAATGGATATGGAAAAGGGGTGGAATAAAACCAGCTCCTGCCATGGATCTCCTGGGAAAGGGGTGGAATAAAACCAGCTCCTGCCATGGATCTCTCAGAAAAGAGGGAGAATGCAATCAGCTCCTGAAATGGATATGGAAAAGGGGTGGAATAAAACCAGCTCCTGCCATGGAACTCCTGGAAAAGAGGTGGATGGAATACAACCAACTCCTGCAGCTGATCTTCTGGAAAACATTTTGGTGGAATGGAAGCAATTCCTGCCATGGATTCCCTAGAAAAGGGTGGAATCAACCAGTTCCTGCCATGGATGTCCTGGAAAAAAGGTGGATGGAATAAAACCAACTCCTGCAGCTGGTCTCCTGAAAAAGAGGTGGGGGAATGCAACCACTTTGGAAAAATGGTAAATGGAATGGAAGCAGCTCCTGCCATGGATCTTCTGGAAAATATTTTGGTGGAATGGAAGCAATTCCTGCCATGGATTCCCTAGAAAAGGGTGGAATCAACCAGTTCCTGCCATGGATGTCCTGGAAAAGCTGCTGATCCAGCTCAATCCATCCCCAGCCCTGCTGAGCCACTTTGGATGCATTTTCTCAACGGCCTGAGGGGTGTGGATATCTCCAAGAGAAACCAGAGCCATGGCAGGATTGTTGACATATCCAGACAGGCTGGCCAGGAGTTTATCGTTCAGCCAGGGGATTTTTTGGGGTGCTGGAGGGGCTGTTACAAGCCTGGTCCCATCTCAGATATTTATGCTGGCATTCTGCCCATCCAAACTATTTCTGTAATGGGAAGGGGTGAGGTTTTCAGAACCAGGGCAGAGAGGAACTGCTCAGTCCTGTCCCTTCTGCAGACTTCCTGTGCTCTGAGGGAGCAAAGCTCCTCTGCTGTTCCAGCTTAAAAAAAGGGGAAGTGGCCTTAAAAAGATGTCATGAGTTTGGGTAAGAATAGATCCAGCAGTGGTAGGGAAGCACGAGATCCTCGTTTCACAGGGACACTGCCCTCATCCAGCGGCTCCAGTGCCCTGAGAGTGAGAAACACTCACTGACCAGTGAATCCCAGTAACTTTTGGGTGTAAATCACCCACTGACCAGTGAATCCCAGTAACTTTTGGGTGTAAATCACCCACTGACCAGTGAATTCCAGTAACTTTTGGGTGTAAATCACTCACCAACCCTGAGGCTGAGCCTGGCTGCCAGCGTGGCAAACTCCAGAGCCTTCTCGTAGCCCTGCAGGCCGATCTGCAGCTCTGCCAGTTTATTGAACAGCCGCAGCTCYGTCTGCGTGGCCTTGAGTTTCCTGGCCAAGGGCACAGCTCCTCCCTAAGGAGAGAGAACAGTGAGCTCAGCCAGGGTGTTCCTGGAGGGACCAGAGCTGCCCCAGAGGGGTGACAGAGCAGCAGGATGAGCATCAAGGWGGAGGATGGGGTGGTTGAGCATGGCAGGTTTAGGTTTCAGTCCCTTCTTTCCCTTGAAAATGGGTYTTGTATCCCACAGTGTGGCTCTCAAACACTAAGCCTCTCATCTCTGCCCTCCCTTGGGTGCCTGGAATTCCGACTCTGTTTGCCCAGGAGTGACCAGCTCACACCTAACACCACGAGGATTTGCCATGGGAGGAGCCTGTTCCCAGTCCCAAACAATCTCTGGGGTTTTTTGCAAGCCTGTGCTCCAGGTTTCCTGCTCTGGCACCCTCAGGAGCACTCTCCACCCTCCATCCTTTCATCTGCCCTGGAGCAAAACCGCCTCATCCACCCCTGTGTGGACAGAAACACTGCGAGGGCTCCATACCCTGTAAAACTCCACGGCTCTCTCCCTGTTCCKGCTGCCGTTGAAGAAAGTGTCTCCTGCTTTCTCGTAAAGCTCCATGGCCAAGGAGAAGTTGTCCCATTTCAGAGCAATCTGAATGGCTGCCTGGAAGGAAAAGGGGCTGCAGTGGGATTTGGAAAGTCAGAGACATTGGTGTGATTAAATCAACCCCAATTTTAGGAGCTGCTCTTCYCCTTTGCAGCTCAGCTGATAAAATGATGTTGGAGATGAAAAGAAGCCAGAAATTTTCTACTCCAAGAAAGACTTTCCTGGCACTTCTCCCATATTTATAGACATTTTAATGGGAACTGGTCACCTCCATTGACACTCCTGCATCACTTCCTCACCCAAAGAATTCACTTCTTTTCACCCCCAAATCCTCTAAACTCAGAGGACGGAGACAAAGAGAGAGAATTCAGTGCCTGAGGGTGAGGCAGCAGGTTTCCAGTGCTCAGAGTTTCCCTCTTGGGTTTTCCAGCCCCAAAAGGCTGTGATGGGAACAGGATCACTCCAGCCACCCCATCCATACCTGGAAATACATTTCCACCAGCTCATCTTCCTGCAGGAGATAATAGAGCTTTCCTGCCTGCAGCCAGGCGTCTGCTGCCTTCACAGCCTCCTCGAGGTCAATGAAGATCCTCAGGCTCTGCTTGGTGCAGTCCAGGGACTGTCTCAAAGCCCTGTGGTGGCAGCAGGCAAAAGCCATTTCAGAGGAGTCACAGGGGCCTGGCAGCTGTCCCCATGTCACCTCCCCATGGCACTGACCCCCTGACCTCTCCTCCCATAGTTACAAAGTTTGGGGACAAAAGGACAGCCCAGCTCGGAGCTGTGTCCTGGTAGAACCGAGGAAGTCTCCAAGCTTTAGTGCTAAAGCTTTAAATGTCATTGGGCCAACTGAGGACAATCCGGGACACCAATGGTCCCACCCAGGCTGCTCCTCATGCTCTGTGATAAAGAGGGGTTTGTCCAGGTCACCTGCAGACCCCATTTGCTCCCCTAAACCAAGTCCCAAAGTCACTCCCAGCCCCAGAGGGGAGCAGGGAATGCTGGCACCCCCAGATAGCAGCTGGCACCCAAACCCAAATCTGTGCCCATTTTTTGTCCCTTGTGCAGGCACAGAGAGCTCTGGGTGCTCTGCATGACCCCACAGCCCCTTCCCAGCCCCGGTCACGGGGGGACACCCCGGGATGAGCCAGCGGGATGGACACAGAGTCAGCTGTAGGGGAGGCAGAGCCAGCAGGGTCCAGGGTGTTTGTTTGCTCTGACAAAAGCTCCAGCTGTCCTGGGAGCCCAGGGAATCGGGAGCTTTGTGATCCTAAATAGCACCGTCCCCATGGCAGGCATCTGCTTCCTAAATACCTTCCCCTGCACTCACCGTGACCTGGCTGGGGAGGAGAATGTCCCACATGGGGACAGCTCTGTCATTTGTCCTTCTGGGCCATTCTGGGACAGGGAGCCAGCTCTCCCCTCTGTGATCCATTTCCCTGCAGGGACTGAGCCTGTCCAAGCCTCCTCTCCTCTCCTGGCCAATCTGATCARCCCCAGGGGTCAGCAGGATTAAAGGTGAGCTCTGAAACACCTTCTGTGAGTCTTAAATCCCTCCCTGGGGAAAATCTCCCAGCAGATATAGGGAGGGCAGCCTGGAAGGCTGAAACCAGACTCACTCAAAGGGCAGATAAAGAGCCTGTTTTTACTGGGAAATGGTGGTGATTAATCATTGGGATCAGCCTCCAAAGGAAACCAATTCCCTGTCACTCGGTGCGCTCTGCTGAAGGCTGGATGTCCTGGAAAACTGTTTGGCCAGATTGCAGTTCATTCTGGAACAACATTTGCCTGGCTCTGGATGACACCGGGCTGTCCCCTCTCCTAGCAYAGTGACAGCTCATAAATCTCAGAACCAGAACTGTGGGGCAGCTGGAGCCACCACAGCCCTTTCCACTCTATTCAAGGGACACCCTGGCAAAGCCACTGCACCCTGGCAGCACCCAACAGCCCCCAGCACTCACCCCGGTGTGCCCAGAGCCTGGTAGAGCTGGCTCAGAGCCTGCCTGGCGCTGCCCTCCAGCTCCCTGTCGTGCAGCTGCTGTGCCAAGGCCACGCGGTGCTCGTGGTAGGSGAGGCTGGCACGCAGGTCGGGGCACACCTCGCTGTAGAAATGGCACAGGCACTCYGTGATGTGCAGCTGACCTGCGTGGGGACAGGGACAGGGAGAAGGACAGGTCAGGGGGTGGCATTGGGGATCTGGCAGGGCTCTGATTGGGGGTGACCGCTGCCCTGCTCCCATCCGTACTCACTGCTCAGGTTCTGCCACCTCAGGGCGAACGCCAGCGCCAGTTCGTAGCAGAGTTTGGCATCTTCCGTCCTCTGCCTGTCCACCAGRGCCTGTGCCAGCCACAGCAGCACCCGTGCCAGCTCCACGTCCAGCTGYTGGTGGCCCTGGAGCTCGGCGTAGAGCCGCACTGACCACAGCAGGTAGAGCTCRGCCAGCTGGGCGGCCCCGCACGACAGGCTCAGCTGGCCCAGGTTTGCCAGGGACACCGCCTGGTTCCTCCTGCTGCCCGTCTCCTTGGCCTTGTGCAGGGCTCTCAGGAAGTGCTCTGCAGCCTCCTGGATGTGTCCCTGTCCCCTGAGGGCCATGGCCAGCAGGTTGTGCACGGCCCCGCGCTGGCTCTCGCTGTCGGWGCGGCGCAGGGAGCGCAGCAGTGGCTGCAAGATGTCCCCGGCAGGGCCCGGCCGCTCCTGCAGCAGGTACAGCCACCCCAGCGACAGCGAGGACTCAAAGGCCTCCTCATCACCCATCAGCTTGCCCAGGGCCGCAGCCCTGTTGGCGTGGCACACAGCYCCGTGCAGGGCCCCGTGCTGCAGGTACAGCCGGGACAGGAGGGCACAGAGCGTCCTCTGCATGGCCACAGCCCGGCTGTCACAGCAGAACCTCAGCGCCTGCTGCACGGGCACACAGGCCAGTGCCGGGATGCTGCTCCTGTCCAGCTGCTTTCCCAGGGCTCTGCAAGCATTTTGGAGGATGAARCCGGCTCTCCAGATGGGGCTCGGCGTCCCCTTGGCACCGCTGGGCACAAAGGACCTGGCGGAGGCCAGCGCGATGTTGGGCAGGTATTTCTTGTCGTAGAGGTGGCACAGGGTGGCAGTGGCATCCAGAGACCCAGAGCGGGCACCTGGCCCGAGCCCGGTGATGCTGAGGCACTGGAGATGCTCCACAAAGGGCAGCACCTCCTCGGTCCTGCCCAGCTGCAGGAGGAGTTTGGCCACCAGGAAGCAGCTCCGGGCCTCCAAGGCAGCGTTGCCCACGGCGATGGATTCCCTCAGCAGGTAGAGCAGCAGGTCCAGCTCGCTGTCCGAGCTGAAGGAGTGGCCAGGCAGCCCCACCAGCAGTGCCACGGTTTTCCCCAGCAGGGAGGAGAATTTGTGCCTCGTGTTCTGTTTCAGGTAGATGGAGGCCAGGCTCACATGCAGCGCGGCCAGCAGGGGCAGGTCCCCAAAGCCCCTGTCCAGGACACTCATGGCTTCCTCAAAGTAMACCCGAGCCTGGGAGAGCTTGACCTTTTTGATGCAGAGTTTACCCAGGAGGAAACAGAGCCTGACATGAGCCCAGACAGAATGAGTCCTCTTGGCCCAGTTCCGGGATGTCTCGAGGTACAGGACCAGTTCATCCTCGTCAGAGAAACCGTAAAAGGTGGAGTGGAGGAAGGAAAAGCTGAGATCATAAAAGCTCTGAAAAGTGGGCACRAAACTGTCTTGGTTCAGGAAGGTCAGTATGGGGTCAAAGACATCAGCGTCCTCCATGTGTCCAGCATTGAGGTCRATGAAGAACTTGGGATAATCCAAGTCGTCCAGCTTCTCCAGGAGAACATCCTCCAGGGTGCCAGGGGCTGCTTCGCTGCTGGGGCTGGACAGCTCCGAGGTGCTGCTGGTGGCCCAGTCCTTTATTTCCTCCCAGGATTGCAGCACCTGGATTTCTGCACTGCCATGGGGAGCAGGGTCTACAAGGGACAGGGAAACCGGAGTGGGGTTKGGARGAAATTCTTCMCTGTGGCTGCSYCTRGATCCCTGGAAGTGTYACCTGGAGCAGCCTGGGATAGTGGAAGGTGTCCCTGCCCATRGCAGGGGTGGGACTGGATRATTTTTAAGGTCCCTCCCAACCCAAACCATCCTCTGATCTTTCCTCATGCCAAAATTGGCCCTCAGAAGGCACCACCAGCACATTCCCCTCTGTCCCCTTCTCACACTCACCTGTTGGCACTTTGGGGAACGTGGCCGTGGGTTCAAAACCATCTGCACAAAGAGACAAACAGAAAACAAAACCCCCAATCCTTGCTCAGTGCCCAGGCTCAGAAAGCAGCTGAAGTCCCAAAGCCACCCGGCAATCCCAGGGAAACTGGGAGCACCCAGGAACTCTGTTCCTGATCCTGCAGCACCTGCTGGGTGAGCCCCAGCTCGGGAGTTCCCTGGGGCACAGAATGTCCCCACAAATCACAGCATGGCCGGGGCACCTCCCGAGGACACCTCCAYCTCCATGGCCAGGCTGAGCACGGCTTTAGATCTGCCTCCAGCCCAACAGTCATCTCCATCTCGGGGCTCTCCTGGAGCTGGGGATGTGAGGAGAGGGCACACTCACCCAGCCTGTACACGGAGGTGATGTCGGTGTGTGCCAGCTCTCCCAGGAGGGTGGCAAAGCGCTGCTCATCACCATTGCCAGGCACCTGCAGCAGAGGGGACTTCTCCTCTTCGCTCAAGAACACGAAGTCGTTCCCCCTGGGGTGGGGCAGGAGAAAAGAGTCAGTGTGGCCCCAAAGCCTGGAACTGCAGCTGGACTGTGGGGTGGGGTGGGATCCATAGGATGGGATGGGATCCATGGGATGGGATCCATGGGATGGGATCCAATGGGATGGGATGGGATCCATGGGATGGGATGGGATCCATGGGATGGGATGGGATCCGTGGGATGGGATGGGATCCCATGGGATGGGATGGGATAGGGCAGGGAATGCTCTCCCCACCCTTGTCAGGCTCACAGCCCTTCAAAGCCACAGACTGGAGACATTTCTAGGACACAATTTGGAAGCCAGCTTGCAGGAAGCCAGATTAGCCCAGGGCTGGAGCTGCTCCTCTCCAGGAATCACCTGGGGCAGGTGAAACAGTTCCTTTGTCTGGGCTCAAGGCTTCTGGTCCCACCTCAAAGCCACCCTCGGGGAAGCTCTTGCAAAGCAAATCACCTCCCTAGGCTCTCATCCAGCCCTGAGGGGGAATTTGGAGTCTCCCCTCCCATTTTCCCCAAATTTTATTGAATAAATAAACTCACAGGGGTTCACAAGCCTCGGGATTTACGTGCCGGGTGGGAACGAAGCCGATGCTCCCGGTGCTGAGGGATTTGCCCACAAACCACGGGAGGCCAGGGATGATGAAGCCGATGATTTCTATGGGGTCTCCTTTGGAGAAGCTCAGCTCATCCCACRCTGCTCCTCGGTGGTCCTTGGTGGCGACACATCTGCCTCTGACTGGGAAACCGAGGCAAAAATGGGAATTTCAGTGGGATCCCTGCTAAAACACCTCACTGGAAAACACCTGGGCAAGGAGAGGCCATGATTCCAGCTGGAGAGGGCTGCCTCTCTTTCCCCTGAGATTTATCCTCTTCTTGGATTCAGATCTCTGCCATTTCCCCTTGAGAAGTGGATTATAATGAAAAACAAAAGAGGGATGGATGAACTCCACACCTCTGAGAGCTGCAGCCTGGAAGGTGACTGGAAACTCAAAACTCCCCAGATACTGTCGTGTCTCAATTCCCTGCCAGGAATGAAATTTTGGACAAATATCCATCCTCACCTGACCAACTCACACCTGCAGGGACCTCCTGTGCCCAGCACGCTCTGAACTGGGCTGAACTGGGGTTAAAGGGCACAGATTTCATGTGCACACGAGTGGGATCCTCATGATTTGTAACCTCACTCCTGAAAGAATTAAAGAAAACCTAAAATTGCAGTAGGACAGGAAAACCCAGAGGCAGAAGGGTGTCACCAGCAGCTCCAGCTCTCTCTGTGCTCTTCAGATTGTCCCTCTGAGCACCCACAATCTGCAAGCTCTGAAATGCATCCCAGTGAATTCAGAGATGGGATATTCCCTTGGAGCCCCTGCAGCGGTGCCATTCCCAGATCTACAGCTGGAATTGTGGGSTCTGATGGATTTATGGCCATTTGTGGGGTTTGAGCTGTGCCCAGCCCTGGGACAGCGGGTGGCACTCACCAATGGCCTGGCAGCTCGTCCCRCTGATCTCCTGTGAGAGGCCAAAGCTCACGGGGTGACTCTTCAGGAACCACCTGCAAGGCAAAGGGACCCTCAGTGCCCCTCCCC